ATGCAGGACGTGAATTTCACGTGAATATATTTAAATAATAAATTATTTATTAAAAATAAATTATATTTATAATTAAAATGAATAATAAACTATATGTCGAATAATTTATTTTTATTTTAATTATTACTAAATTTAATTATTGATCTATTCTACCCTTCTTGAAATATCTAATCTGTCATTTTCAGGTATTTCTTCGGCCCTTTTAGTCATTTCTTTTGTTGTTTATAGTGGAGTTTAAAAATTATTATTCTCGAGTATTTGCACATCTAATTGTATTATAAATATATTATTTTTTATTAACAAAGAGGTTGATTAGATTGTAATACTTTTGTTTGTATATTACTATTATGATATTGTTTCGTGCCAAAAAATATGACATATTTGATCCTAAAATCTAATGTTAAACTATATTTTAATAAAATTATGGATAATTGGAGTTCTTAAGAGTTACAATTGTAATTAAAGATGTTATCTGATAAGAAGAGCTTTGATTCAAATGAAATTTATGGGCCAATAAGATATGGAAGTAAAAAGAATAATATTTATAAAGATATGTGGGGGTATAATTAGTATTGTTGTAATAATTAGGGATAAAATATGAAATCAAAAATTTTTCACAGCTGTTGACATTTATAAGTAGTATAGATTATTAGTAGTGTAGGGTAATATTGTAATTTTCATAATATTAGTTTACTATAAATAAGAGTGTAGGGCAACATAGTTTACATAACTGATTATTCCTCTAAATCTCTCTCTCTCTTCCTCCTTTTTTCCCACATAAACCTTAATATCAATTTTATCATTCAACTATATCTAAAGGGCATTTTAGTAATTTGTGTTTACATATGTAAGTTGGACGTAGTTGTGTGACCTAATACACACCACTGTCCTCTCTTGTAATGTTCTTTCTTTTCATTTACTTCCTTTTCTCATCTCTTCAAAACTCTGAAGACTTTGAAATCTAATTTGTATAAGAGCGTCGACCAAAATCTAACATCTCAAAGTTGCCAAAACTCATGTTTTTTGGACATGTAAATGAATTTTAGGTATTTATTATGTTATGTTATGCTTTATTTATATCTTAAGGGTATTGTAGTAATTTGTGTTTGCATATGTAAGTTGGACATAGTTGTGACCCAATACACACTACTCTCTTCTCTAGTAATCTTTTCTCTTTTCCTCTAATTTCTCTCATCTTCTCAAAACTTTGAAGACTTCTAAATCTAACTGGTTATTAGAGCGTCGTCCAAAGTTTAACATCTCAAAGTTGTCGGAACTCATCAAAAAACATTCATTATNTTTTGAAATCTAACTTGTATAAGAGCGTCGACCAAAATCTAACATCTCAAAGTTGCCAAAACTCATGTTTTTTGGACATGTAAATGAATTATAGGTATTTATTATGTTATGTTATGCTTTATTTATATCTTAAGGGTATTGTAGTAATTTGTGTTTGCATATGTAAGTTGGACATAGTTGTGACCCAATACACACTACTCTCTTCTCTAGTAATCTTTTCTCCTTTCCTCCAATTCCTCTCATCTTCTCAAAACTTTGAAGACTTCTAAATCTAACTGGTTATTAGAGTGTCGTCCAAAGTTTAACATCTCAAAGTTGTCGGAACTCATCAAAAAACATTCATTATAGCCGGTAATGGTTGTTGTCAAGACTTTGACATATTGATGTTAGCACAACCTGATGTCAGCACCAAGCATGTCAAAAATTTTCGAAAATGGCATGGATGGAATCGACTCTTTTTCCTGAGTATTATTTGATAAGCATGATAAAATCATCTACCCCAATCACTTCCTTATTAGAAGATTTAGGAATAGATTAGAGAGATCTTCCAATAAGGATAAGATTTATGATGGTTATGTTGTTGAATATTGCACTGTATTTTTTGCTATAAATGACCAAAGATCAAAATATCATTTCGAAATAGTCGAAATATCGAAAACGTTTTCGTTTTCAAGGAGACCGAAATGAATTAGTGATGAATCGAAATTCTAATACTTTAAGGTATTTCTAAGGATCAAAATATTGTTTCGGTGTATTGTTTCGGTCATCTAAAAAATTGAAACATTTCGACCCGTTTCGAAAACATAATGAAAAATATAAAAAATTTAAAAATTATTTTTTTAAAACATTGATGAAAATATATCAAAGTACCTTGAAACATTTTAAAACAATTGTGCAGATGTATTGAAATATTATAATATATTTAAAAATATTATGGAATACCTCGACATATCAGAATTTTGATTCTATCATGGTTTCGTTTCGGTCTCCTTGGAAACAGAAACGTTTCGGACGTTTTGACCGTTTCGAAACGATATTTTGATTCTTGGGTATTTCATAATGTTTCAAAATATTTTGTTATATTTCAATACATTTACACAATTATTTCGGAATGTTTCATGGTATTTCAAGATATTGATATATTTTGACCAATGTTTTGAAAAAATAATTCTGAAATTTTTTATTTTTTTCATTCTGCTTTCGAAACAGTTCGAAATGTTTCCGAAACATGTCGAAACGTTTTCATTTCTTAAATGACCGAAACAATGTACTGAAACGAAATTTTGATCATTATAAATAACACATTTAGGAGTATGTGGAAGTTGTCCAACAAAGCTCCTATTTTCTCCTAATTAATTTACATGGTATCAGAGCCATTGGTCTTTTGAGACCTAATAGATTATCAGGAAAAAAATGGCAACAGAAGCCATCTCCACAAATTAGTCCACTGGAGTTACAACCCAGACCAGTGCTGTCAACATTCATCCACTGACTGTCTCTCTTTCTGTCATCACAAATTGTATATCCATCCACAAACTACCTGCTATGGAAGAGTCAATTTCTTCCGATTCTCCGAAGCCATAAGTTACTGGAATTCGTTGAAGGGAAAGTACCTAAACCCCCAGCGGTAGTTCGGGACAATGATCAGGAAATTTTCAATCCCGCTTGTGAAGCTTGGATGATTACGGATCAAATACTCAGTTGGATTAACACAAAACGTCCTAAAATACGTGGAGATTTCTTGCTGACAACTATCAACAACGCTCACAGGCTCGTATACACTCTATCTGTCATCAATTGAACGTTATTAAGAAGGATTCGTCGACATTTTCTGAATATCTTCGGCAGCTAAAAGGGCTGTTTGATACTCTTGCCGCGATCGGTGCACCACTTTTGGACCCAGATAAAGTACACTATGTGCTTGCTGGTTTGGGTCCCGATTATAACACCTTCGCCACTTCAGTTCTTGCTCGACCGCCTTTTCCACTATATGATGAGCTCATACCAAATCTCATCAGTCAGGAGATGAGATTCCCTTTCGCAGGGCAAAATAATTTTTCACAAAAGAAAAATTATAAAAAAGGTTCTTGTTCATCCAACAATAATGGATCACAAAACAATTATGGCTTGAATTTTGGGCGCAACAGTCCCGCTAGTAATCCTAATGCATCTTCCAGATTTTTAGACTCCCCTAAACATGACTCCTCTGTATGCGGCAACTCATCCACAGTTGTCCTTGAGTGTCAAATTTGGGGGAAAAGGGGCCATAATGCTCTTGTTGGCATCTCTATAATCATACCAATCAAGCATGCACGATTCCCTCTGCTCTTTCAATAGCGGATCCCAATAACCCAAATTGGTATCCCGACAGGGGAACAACTTCTTATATCACTAGAAATGTAGGTATTTTTATTAATATCTGTCCTTATACCTCTGATGAAAAGGGTTTTTGTGAGTAATGGTGCTATTCTGCATGCAACTCATGAGGGTACTGTTATTATTCTTGGAAATGAGCGTGGTATACAACCCAACAATGTTCTATTGGTTCTGGGAATTAAAAAGAATTTACTATCTGTTAGTTAGTTCCTCGATGATAATTCTTTTACTGTCGAATTTTCACAATTTGGTTTTTCTGTTAAGGATCACAAATTCGGGATAGTACTGATGACAGGTCGTAGGTTTGGAGGGCTAAATACTTTTTTGCGTGACGATGCTTCACTACTAGCTATTCATCCTTCTCCATCTAGATCAATAACTGTTGAAGTTTGGCATCATCGTCTAGGACATCCTTCCATTCAGATGTTGAAGACTTTACGAAGGCAATCTTTGATTTCTTTTACTTCTAGTAGGAGCTTGAATAATCATCTTTGTAGCAGTTGTCAACTTGGCAAAGGACGTTGTTTGCCTTTTACTTTAAGTGATTCTGTATGTGATAAACCATTTGTTTGCATTTATTTTGATGTTTGGGGCCCGCTTCAATTAACTCTGTTTTGGGATTTCGCAACGATGTTATTTTTACCGATGATGTAACTTGCTATGTTTGGTTTTATCCGTTAAAGCTTAAATCTGAGGTGTTCAAATGCTTTACTCGGTTTGAAAAGATGATGGCAAATGTCTTTGATGCAAGAGTTCAATTCTTTTTAATCGATTGCGGTGGTGAGTTCACCTCACATGACTTCGATAATCATTTGGCACAAAAAGGCATCGTTCGCCAACTTTCATGTCCACGAACACCCCAACAAAATGGGGTCGTCGAGCGAAAGCATCGCCATATCACAGAGATGTGTTTAACTCTATTGTTTCATATTAAAGCTCCAATGGACTTGTGGGTCAAAACATTTTCAACGGCAACTTATTTAATCAACAAGCTGCCCACTTACACAATTGGAGTCCATTCTTCTCTCTATATGGCAAAGATCCCTATTTTACGATGCTTTGCCCCTTTGGCTGTTTTTGCTATCCATTTCTTTCGGATTATCAACTACACAAGTTCCAGTCCAAAGAGTCTACCTTGTGTGGTCCTGGGTATCAGTGAATACCACAAAGGATTTCGGTGCTTAGAATCCTCATCTGGCCACGTTTATATCTCTTGGAATGTTGTTTTCGACAAAACAATTTTTCCTTGTCAATCTCGTGATGTTCTTCTTATGGCGGCTGTTTTTCATGGTGATTTTCTTCAACATACTGATTTTCCACGGTGGTTATTCCCAGAAGATTTGCTGTTTCCACCCATCGAATTTACTACTGCCCAGCCATAGTTCCATCTCCAAAGCACCATTCCCGGTTGCTGCCACCCAGTCTGTCCACAGAGACCTCCAAGGAGTCTGTCTTCGCCCTACCGCTGCCTTCTTCTTTGCCTCCTGCTGCCACATCCCTCTTCTGCTAGTGGTACGAGGGAGATAGGTCTCCCAGTTTCTCCTTCTACGCCATAGCTTGTTGCTCTTCCAGTTTTGGGTCCTACCCATCCAATGATTACACGTAGCAAGCAGGGGTGGATTTGGCATGGGGGCAACTGCCCCCATTGGAATTTTAAAAAATTTTAGGGCCTAGGTGTAATTTTAAAAAATTTAAAATTTTTTTAAACTTGTCCCCACTGAAATTTTCTTAAAATCTAGGGTATACTAATGTAATTTCCAAATCTTAAAAGGCAACTTTTGGCTGATCCTCACATTCAACGCCTGCCTTTTCTTTTCTTTTTTTT